AGTCTGCAGTTAAACATTTTTAAAGTCATTTTTTTTTGGTTCTCTATAAGAAGGATTTCTTGGTTAAATCTCTTACTTGTTTTTTTTTTTAAACCACTGATAATCGCAGTCTTTGGGATTTTCTACTTGGCATGTTTTTTTAAATTGTTGACCAACAGGAACTACAGCTGATATAGGATGCTGGGATTTTTTTTGAGGCTGGCAACCTAAGAATGATCAGAAATGACCTTTACTCTATAGTAAATAGACCTTGATATTTTCATAATTCAATAAGTCATACCTACTACTCTATCTTTTTTTTGTATCTCCACACAATTACTTTTTTCTGCACTCAAGCGATTGCTAGTTTTTTTTGAATATCTCCCACTATCTTTAGCTTGTGTGTTATTGATTATAAGTTTTTTTTCACAAGCATTGCGAATCTCTTCTCCATTCCTTAGCCATTGGTATTCTGGTGGTGGGAACCCTGTGGCTCTGCATACTAGTTCAACTCTCTCCCCTGCCATGACTGGTGATGACGATGGCTGTTCTGTGATTTCTACTCGTTCTGGAAAATGGAAGAAAAATGGTGATGCAATGAACATTTGATAGACAGGATGGTGAATGGATCGTTTTTTTATGGTACTTTCCTTTGTTTGAGCTAATGTTTTATAAATATGAATGATTTTTTTAATGAATAAATGGGAATAAATAAATGATTCATGCTTACCATCTGGTTTTTTTTGTTCCAGTGCTTCATTATTACCAATAGCTTCCAGGTAAACAATCAGTTTTTTTACAGTTATACATTTTTGACCTAAATTTTGAAGCAAGGCCTCTGCTGTTTTTTTTCCCCTTTGCATGCCAAGTCTATCAAATTGGTTGACCTGAAACATTTTTTTTTTAAAGTTCACTTTATCACATAAAAAAACATTAGTTTCCTGAATTATAAAAGTTTGTTTCCCTGAGCCAAGGTTTTTGTAAATACTGTAACAGCTTCTAACTTGTAGTTACCAGAGTAAGAGAATGCCTCACAACATAGCTTCTATCCCCTGATTTTTTTTGTTATTTATTATTATAACATCAAACGAGAATGCAGAGTATAAATTTTTTTTTAATCTTTTAAAACAGATACATGTACCTAATTGCAAAAATTGTTAAATACAAATGTTCTCTTCTCTATGAAAATTAATTTGCAATAAGGTGAATAGTTAATGGATGAAATCTTACATCATTTTGCGTGTAGGTATCAACAGGCATTGCACCAATAAGTGCCCTCCAATTTGTTGCATTGTCAAGATTATCAAGGAAGCTAGCTACCTTTTTTTATATGGAGTAGGGTAGTTTCCGTATTTGAAGGTTGACATTCTTATTTTTTTTTTAAGATGCCATGATGCTTTACCCTGGTATAAGAAAATATATCAACTTTTTTTTGCATACATTTTATACATTCCCAAACATCAAAGTATTCTTTATGGCTTTTTTTTTGACGTCATATTTTTTAAAGATAAATTATTGTACTTCCTGTTTATACTAGCGGATTTTAGTGTACATAACACAACTATAGCAATTTGTATTATTAATAATTTTTTTCCATGCATACAAATTAAATAATTTATCACTTTGTAACTTAAATTTACAATATTCAATTCAAGTTTGTGACAAATTAAGCTTAAAATGTCAGCTAAACCTTTTTTTTATTTTAGCTCGAAAATTCTCTTGTTAAATCTCATCAAATAAATCCCTTTTTTTTTTGCTATCATATAGCAAATAATAAATTAACAAAACAGACGAAATCTTTTTTTAAATAAGTTAAACACTTTAAGTTTATGAAAAGATCGCGGCGAAATAAGGCGCGTAAAACAACATGGCCCTGAACCAATGCATAAGTCATCAACAAGTCGAAACCCGAATAAAACATACTTACAATCCTTCCTAAACGCGTCTAGCATTAAATCATATCAATGCTTAAGTGTACAAATGGTTTTTGAGTGTAGAACATTTAAGGAACAAGGGAAGTTCGAAATACCACGCACATTGGGAATAATTCCCAGAATTTTGTGAACACAGGAAGTTCTTTCAAACTTCCCTTGTGGGGTAGGGTCAGTAGTTGACATCATTTCAAATTTCGATAAAATAACAATTGGGATTCTTAATGTTACAACACAGAATGTAATATAATGTTTTCAGCGATAAATGAACTAATAATTACATATAAATTCTCAGAATTTGTGTTTGTATTTAGTATGCAAAAATCCCAAGGGGACTCCCCAGGTTTTTTTTTTGTTCGTTACGCATGTTTTTATTATGTCACTGCTAGCCAATAAGACTGCAGTAAACAGGAACAGGGAAAACACCTCCAGTGAATGGATTGAAAGTGATTTTTTTGTAGTTATATCATAATGCTAAAATAGTTTTGATATGCTACGGCCATTCTAGGAGACTTCAAAAAGATTCAATAAGATGTATTCATTTCATCATTGAAGGTAATTTTTAGGAGACAAAAGTTTGTCATCAACTTTGAAATGAATTTCTTCTTTTTTGTGGAGATTTCACGCGTTTTCTTGACTTTAATATCTATTTTTAGTTTCATTGCTTATCTCATGATACTGTGTTTTTTAGCCACACAGCTTAGCTAATTCACCATGGAGGCTTAATAAAATGCATGTACCTTGGTAAATTTGTATAAACTTAATTGCTTTTTTTGGCCATTATATAGAGGATATTCCACAAAATGATAGAAAGGAACTAGTTTTTTTTCTTGACAATTACCATCCATCCATAAACTGGCGATCTCTGATACATTTTTTTTCTCAAGGATGGTACCAGAACTATCAAATAGAAGGATTTGGTATAAATTTTTTTGAGCCAGGAGGCAGTCCTACAAATGCATTACTAAATGACCTGTCAATTTTTTTTGYTACTATACAGCAACTTGTTGTGTGGTTGTCTCAGTTAACACGTCAAGCACAGTTTCCCAGGCTACAGTTATTGATATCAAAGCTTCAGGGAAGAGGTGAGTGGTGTAATTGCAATTGTAATTGTGATTGTAATGTACAAGTATAACTAGTTTTTTTTATAGATTTGATTTGACACACAGAAGTGTGTATACTGATAAATATTTTTTTTTATCTGAGATATAGATTATGGTGTTCAAAGTAGAGATACAAAAGCAGATCCAATCAACTGGATAGCTCATGCAGTTGGTAAAAACAACAGACATTTGCTATTTTTTTTTTACTCCTAGACTATTGTGAATGCCGTGGAGGTTAATCATCTCATTTCCTGGTCACCATAGTCACCAATGTTCAGGGTTTTAGTAATGATAAGGGGGGTGATGTTGGTGCCTATGTTTCTTGACCTGCAATGAATTAGTCTTTATAGTCATTTTTTTTGTTTTATCTGATAACATATCATACATGTACCATCACACTAATACAGTAAAAATGAACCCTTGTCATTACTAGCTCACTACCTAATCTCACTGCCTTCAAGTCTGCAGTAATGCACATGACTATACTATGTTATCGATACATCTAGGCAAAAATTTTTTTAATAAAATAGATAATGTTATCAATGAAAACTGCTTTAATTGACACAGAACCTCTGACTATAACAAGACAGCCAGATGAACTTTACAGACATCCTGCAGGAAGTTCTGTGTACATTAAATGTGAAACGTATCCCTGTACTGGAGTTCACTATCAGTGGTTTAAAAGAAAGGAACTGCTACAAGGTGTGCTATTGCTCTGCATCAATTTTTTTTTTTAAGATAATTATCTAATTGAATTATTGGTGTAATGACATTGTTTTTTTTTTTTTTTCAAGGCAAAACAAAGCCTTTTCTTCATCTGCAGAACATCACAGAGGATGATGCAAGTTTTTATACCTGTCGAGTTTCTATTGATAGGCAAAACTGCCTATTTACGAACTGGGCTAAACTTGAGATTTTAGAATCAATGCCTGAAATGGGTCAGTACGTAGTTTTCTTGTTTCTCTATTTTGCCTCAAAGTTGTGTGTGTGTGTTTAACCTCGTCCATGCCAGCTTGGATTCCTTTGTTGTGTATGAGAGAAATGAAGTGTTTGCAACTCCTCTTCTCCCTTCGTTCCTTTTGTTTTGTCACAGGAATCCCAGAGTTGCTATAAATAGCCTGCTTTTATCATGGTTCAAAACCTTACTTGTTTTTTTAATTATTTTTTTTCTCCTGAGTCTTGTCTTTAAGACCCTTTTATGAATCAATGCTGTTCCTGAAATATTGAATTGAAAGTGTTCGAGCTGTATTAGTTTTTTTTTTCATATTACAACACACCTCAATAAACTAGTCCAATTCCCATCATTTGTTTTTTTAACCTAGAATAACAACTCAACCTTGCTGTCCTGAACAACCTGTACTGGGAGGGATACTATACCTCTATTGTGATGCTGTTGGTGATCCAGCGCCTACGTTCCAGTGGTACAAGGACAGCAAACTAATACCAGATGCAACCACCAGAGAATACTTTTTTTCMAACTTGTGTCATGATGATGAAGGTGTCTACCAATGTGTTGCTTCTTTTTTTGCAGGACAAGCCTTTTCTGATCGTACTGTTGTAAAAGTTTGCAAGGAGAGACAGACAAACAGTCACAGGCAACCTGCAGGTGAATAGATAAGAATGAGATTTTTTTTATTATGAACAATGACTGAGGTGTGTTGCAGTGGTTATGATATTAATTTTTTTTTATCTTAAACTTTTTTATGTTGTTGAGCTATTCAATTTAATGTGACTATTTCCTCAAATAGGTCTCCATGGTAGAAATCCAGGGCCTGATAACAATCCTTTTTTTTCACCAAGAAGAGGTAGTTATCATTAAACTTCATAATTTAGTATGTAGTCTCCTTGGCAGGATTTACGTTTGTCCAGCAAGTTTTCAGAAATGATTTTATTTTTTTTTTATGTATACTGAATGTCAGATATGATTGATTACCACAATGGCACTTTTTTTTTTCTGATTAAAAGCCTAGTACATCCTGATTTAATAAACTCTAATTTTTTTTTAGTTTCAGATAAAGTAGCATTACTGATTGGTAACAAGGAGTATAAGTTTTTTTAACTGGGTCCATTGTATCATCCAACTAATGATGTTTGCGATCTAGCTTTTTTTTTGACAAGCATTGGCTTCAAGGTAGAAACTGAATTTTGTATGACTTTGTTAACTTTGCTCAATTGTTTCATTCATTGATTTGCTGATTTTTATATTTCTTTTTTTTATTTATCCATTCATCCATCCATCCATTCATTCCAACTCTTTTCACCAATCTTCCCATTTACTCACATATTTGATGATCATGTTACTTTTATAAAAATCATTTTTTTTTGTGTCTCTTGTCAATCTCACATTATCAGAGATGAAGTTTGCAGTTTTTTTTTTTTATGAGATGTTAGATGCAGATATGTATGCTTTGTTTTATTTTGTTTTTTTTGGTTTTGAAGTAGACAATCAGAGCTATCTAATGCCTGTAGATGCTTCTCCAAAATACTTACCACTGGAAAACTTGAGTGCATCAGAAGTTATTAGCTGTTTTTTTAGCTCACAGGCCTATTTGAATATTGTCCTCTTGGATAGTTGTCGAATTTTTTTAGATACTTTGAATATCACATTCAATGATAAGCTAGAAGGAGAAATGTCCTGATGAAGTTGACCAAAATGGCAATAAAATATAGTCAGCAAAACATTGTACTATGTGAGCTGAATAGCCCAAGTAACCAAAGCAATAAGTGATTTGTTTATTATCAATATCCTTCATTAGTATCAAATCCAGCATTCTTATTGGAAGTATTACTTAATATTTTTCATTGATTTTACTTGTTTTCTTATTTTAGGCCACAAAGAAATATTGTCCTGAATAATCCTAGTGAAGGTTTTGTGGTGAAAAAGAAAAATGTCATGATTGTTTTCCCATGGTCAGTTCTGCTTTCTTCTCAATTTTACAATTTCAGTTTTAATTTATATAATTATTATAATTTACAAGTGATTAAACACTACTTTTCTTGTGAATTTTTTTTCTTGAAGCTGTTCAAAGAATTCCGTATTTGAATCAGAAAGCCATATTTTTTTATATTTTGCGTACTACCTTTTAAAACATATCGGTGATGATGTGAATGTATCTGAGGTCATGCTCCGAGTTAGTGCAGGTAGGTGATGTAACTATTATTATTTTTTTTCTTTGAAATAAACAGATGTAATACTCCCTTTGTATGAGATGTACCTTCATCAGGGAGTGGGGGACTCCCTAATAAAAAAGGGTGGGGGTCCTCATCGGAAATTCTCAAAATGACCCCTAAAAGGGACCTGTATTGTGAGATGATGGGCGTGGCAGTGCTGAAATTTCACCCCTAAGAGGGGCCAATCAATAACAGGTCGTTTTGTTTTTTTTTCCTGATTTCAAACCCTAAAAGGAATGACGAGGACCCCTGCCCTTTTTTTTTAGGGAGTACCCCCCTGGGCTTCATTAATTCCATCCCCCCTCCCCTTGTAGCCCACATAACGTCCTCTCACGTCATAGAGACCTGCCACAATTTTAAATGACATTGCTTGTAGTTAGGGTAGATCAGTTTTCCAGTTATGGGAATTTTAAAAATATTTTGTATTATTGCAAATAATTGTTCTCTGTTCTCCGATATGAATTCATTCTTTTTTTGACAAAGAAGACATCAGAGACCCAAATACAGAGCAGAAACAGATTGTTTTTTTAAACTCAACAATAGCAGAACCTTTATCATTAAAAGCACAAACTGATCAAAATGCACCAACACGAAGCTCTGGACTCTGGAAAGCTGCACATGGTAGGATTTTTTTTATAATTTTCTGGGAATTTGTCCATGATACTGACAGCTATAATGTTGTTTTTTTTCTGCTTGTCTCATAATAACTTTGATGGCTTTCTAGCCCTACTTTTTTGTCTTTGTGACTATATTTATAGTAACTTAATAGAGAGAAAATAAAACGTCATTTTTTTGAAATAGGAAAGAAAATATAGAAAAAAAGTTAGTTGTGTCAATGATTTTTTTTCCCTTGTTTGTTTTGATCTTTTATTGTCTCTCTACTTGTTTATTTCTTTTTTTCTTTATTCAATTTCCCTTTTCCTCTTTCTCTAACATTTTCCATCTCTTACTTTATAATGTTTTGTTTTTGCACACAGAAATTCCACAGAATCCTGTTGTTTTTTTTAAAGAAGGAGATTGCATTYTAGAGCTACTTTTCTTTGCTGAGTTTTCCAATGTTCTACTCATCCATGCAAGACTCAATGGYGACAACAGTCAACATTCCTTTTTTTTRGAGCCTGATATTCAGAATAACAGAACTGTTGTAAGTTAAATTGATTTTTTTATATTTTGTTCTCCTCAGAGGATGACAGGAAGCTGTCATTCACTTTTTTGTCACTTTCTAAAGACTGTGAACAACACGTTATTGTAGGTTAGGARTATGTTTTTTTCCTCTCCCTCTTGSTCTAATGATGACRTTATGCAGGRKCKGATTCATTTTTTTCTTCAGGGAGASATTAAGGGCAAAATTTTAAAATAGCATCAACATATTTTTTTCCTTTAAAAGCTTGAAAGGTACAGCAACTCTTCATCCTCCTACTGGTTTTTTTACTATTCCATCATGATATCAGAGAGTAATACTTGAGTTGAGGCAAGTTTTTTTTGTTCATGAGCTATGTATAATATGTTGTTTTCAGGAACGAAGTGGTTTTTTTTATGAAAGAATCAATGAAAAAGATCCAACAGTCCCTCGCAACTTTCCTTTGGCCAACTGCCTTATCCAGGCAATCAGAATTAAAGATCTACAACGTCTTATTTTTTTTTTAATACATTTAAAATGTTGGGAACTAGCGGTAAACTAGTGTGAGTTTTTTTGGTGTTTCTAAAGAAATAGTTATGTCGAAAGATAAATTTAACACCGTTTTTTTAGTATGTGAAATAACTTACTGACGTTTCGGACGTTAATCCTTCGTCTTTTTTTAAGTGAAGGATTAACGTCCGAAAAGTCAGTAAGTTATTTCACATACTTTTTTTACGGTGTTAAATTTATCTTTTTACACAACTGTTAATACATTTAATGTTTTTTTGTAGATAAGGGGCGGATCCAAGGGCGGTGCCAGGGGACAGTGCCCTTTTTTTTGGAAAGTCCTGCTTTTAAAAATACACATACAACTGTGTCATCCAGGTTTTTTTAAAGGAAACAAAACAGATGAACCACTAGCAATTTTTGCACATAAACTTTTTTTCAGTGGCGTTAATAGTAACGCAACAGATGTAATTCTATAACTGTCATTTTTTTCACTATATATTCAGTAATCTGATGGACGTTTATTTGCTGATTACCATTTTTTTCTAGTGATAGACATTGAGGTCCAAATAACGAGTGAACAGAACAATCTTTTTTTTAAGAACAATCGCCGTATTAAGTACACTATGGCGACAAAACCGTTGTTTTTTTAGAGTGTCCAGCCATTATGATTAAGACCCTCTCTAGAACAACCAAATTTTTTTTGGTCGGTACTGCTAAGCAAGAAATGCTTGGCTTGGCTGGTCGTGATTTTTTTGGAAGGGTTAACCGTAGATTAGATAGGTCATTTTAATACAAATATTTTTTTTTAAGCAAGTAAAGACGCATGGTGCGTCTCCGATGTTTGTGTTGCTGTTTTTTTTTTTACAAGGAATAAAGCACGAAATTAGCTACTTTCTCTTTTTACACTTTTTTTAATTAGCATATCCCAGTCCTTAGTCTTTTTTGCGAAGAAAATTTAATTTTTTTGCAATTTTTTGTATATATTTTAATTTGCGATGAATGCATTTGGTCATTTTTTTCCTTAAAGTAAGACGATATAAATTAAATCTATAACTTAAACTTAAATTTTTTTTTAAAAACTGTGTTAAAAACTGTTCTAAAATAAAATTAAGTTAAGATTTTTTTATTCGGCCAAGCCGGCTACAAGAACGTCGATTTTCCAGACGGCGAATTTTTTTGGTTATACTGATAAGATGGTTCTCGTTGTAAAGGAGGAGGACCAGATTTTTTTAAGAAAAGAAAGTCTGTCAATAATGGAAATCTAACTAAATTCCAAATTTTTTTACCATGTCTTGAGCTATGTGCAGTGAAAGAAAGAAGAAAAATTGACTTTTTTTTTTCTATTTACGTTTTGTTTTTACAAAGTTTACTGAAGTACAGATTTTTTTTTATTGCCAAAGAGCGCGCGAAAGACTGACTTCATGAAATTATATTACTTTTTTTAAGAAAACGGACGCAAAACAGACGGGAAAAATACAAAAGCTTATTAGAAGAGTGAATGTGAAATAAGATAAGAATTTTGAGCACTTACAACTTCAATGTTTTTTTTGTGATGATGAGAAACATAACCGTTAGTTTTTGGCAATGAATACCTGTGCAAAGAGAATACCAACATTATCAGCACTACTGTATCATTTACTGTAGAGAATTTTTTTGAGAGAGAAAGTGCCAGTATAGTAAAGTACACACCAATCGTTTGGTTTTTTTTTAGCTTCTACACTAGACGTATTGTATCGTTGTGGTGATCCGTAAAGTTTTTTTTTTGCATTGTTATCATACGTGCTGTGATGTTTGATGGAACCAGTAGATATCTGTTGCCTCTGCTGGCCATATAACCCATACTCAGGTGCCATGCTATGAAGGACCTTGGTGGGTATAGGTGCTGAGAACGCTGAATGACCCGACTCACTAGGAGGGTTGCCATGGTGACTGTGTCTATGGTGACGATGGTGTCTATGACGTAATTCTTTGGCTTCTCGTGTCATAGCAACCCGAGGTTGGATAATATCGAGAGCTGGGTTTTTTTTTTCAGAGTTGGAGTCACTATAAAGGGAAATTTAGTTAATAGTTTTTTTTTTTAGGAAGAATTAAATCGCTTATACATAAACTTACTGTTGATCGTAATCGCTGAAACCTCGGCTCTGCCTCGGTCGAGAACTTCCATCTGACCTACCGTCGTAGGACTGCTGACCATCACCACGGTGATGCCTAAACAACAATAATAATTCGAGTTTTTTTTAGGTYAGTCTGRATAGTGYGAGTATYGTAGTAGGTTGTAAGCTGCTTTTTTTRTCAGTTATTGTACGGAGATGATGTATTTGATGCAYATGTACCTATTTTTTTTATTACTGTGTTCTCGAGTTATGTCGTCCCAATGGTACGGTGCCGCGTCTCCAAGTTTTGCAATCTCTTCCATGCTAACAGGAACTCTGTCGATTTAACATTTTTTTTGTATTCAATCATCTAACTTTTCATCTCTTGCAAGTTTTCAAACCCTTTTTTTTGATCATTATACTTCGACTTTGTCCGCAATAAATACAAATAGTCTATTTTTTTGAACATGATATGCATTTGAATATAAACCATAATATGTAATCACGTGTTTTTTTTGTGTCTTGCTGCTATGGTTACTGCGTGAATAACTCTCATTGGCTGTTTTTTTTGAATGGGCGTGGTGGCGATGACGATGAGACCTGTGCATCAATCACCATAGTAACAAGATAAACAATACATAAACACTAAAAGGCATTTATTAACAGCATTTTTTTGCATGCTCATGATCTACCTTTTGTGATGTCTCCGTCGTCTTCCCACATCATCGTCTGAATAATACGCTAACTTTGATCTGGACCTGGAAGAAATACAGATTTTTTTTTCATTGTCATTGATCGACTCGATCTTTACACGTTGCCTATTTCGATTTTTTTGACAATACAATTTTACTGCAAAATCCTTTCGTCAGCCATGTCTCAGTTTTTTTTACGTATACAGGAAAAGTCGTGTTGCTGCTAAGATCTGCATCGCGTATTTTTTGAGTCAAAACTCAATTCAATCAAAATTGGTTAATTTTATGTTTACTGAGGTAGAGTGAAGACTTCTATAATGTTAGTGGATCTGATTATTACCGTCTTCTTTTTTTGTCTGTTTCACTGCCGCTGCTTTGACCAGAACGCCGGTGAGGTCTGTTTTTTTCAAGTGTTTTATATGAATACAATAGCAATGAAAACAGCCTACATTATTACTTACTTTGGAAACTTGGGAGAACGAGACCGTTTCCTTGATTTTCCCGTATTTTTTTCGCTTCGTGTAGAGCGGGGAGACCCTGGAGCGGGCGTGTACAGACCTCTGAAAACAGATCATGATTCATGTGACCACTTTCAATTGAGTGCAATGCAGTTTTAATTGTTTTACTTACGCTTGGGTCTGAGCGAGTTCTTCCCAAGGCATCGCTTTTTTTCTAGAGTCATTCATACTATACCCTGGTGATGTCACGTAACTATTCCCGTCAGGGGTACTAACAGGCCAGTTTGGTATTACACCATTCTTTACTTGGATATTTTTTTGACTCGATTTGTTGCCTTGGAGATATAATGAATGTCAATCATTTAATTTTTTTGTCATATCTGAGCGCATTAAGCCCGTGAAACAAATGTGCTAACTAGGATTATTGAGAAAACAACGTTTTTAACTGCTCGGCCACCTTTCCCTTCCCAACTTTTTTTTTCACAGTTAAAATTACCTCTTTCACTGGCCTGACTGTCTCTTCTCTCGTATCTTTTACTTGGTTTTCTGCAAAAAAAAGTGTATATAAACCGATTTTGTTTTTTTGAGGCAGAATTGTAATCAATTGAATTACCTTTGTACCCAAGGACTTTTTTTTTTTATTTTATTTCCTTGTTCCATAGCTTCTTTCTGGGTTCGGCCGCTTTTTTTTAGGCAAGAAATAAGCCAGTAAACGATAAAAACCTCAGTAACCATTATTTTTTTCACCCTTCCTATGCCTTTAGTATATTCAAGATACTTTTCAAGTTTGTTTTTTTCGTCTTGTAAGAAATTCAAGTCACTATGTCATGCTTTGTAATTGCATATAAATGGTGTTTCACCTGTATCTGAATCCAGAGCCAGTGCGTAAAAAGCCAGAAAGGTTTGACTGTGGAGGTGGCTTTACTTTGTCAAGCCTGGAAGGGAATGATTTTTTTAATTTTTACGTATTATTTGCGTTGCGCATTATTTGTGCTGTGCCTGTTTTTTTTAAAAAAAAAGTTTTCGTTGCGCTTGCTTTGCGCAAATTTGCGCGATTTTTTTAACATGTAACGTACGTAAAACTTCTACTCACCTAAAAAACGCGTGATGCTCAACGCAACATTTCCACAGATGCTTACAAGCAGATTTACGAGCTAAGTAGAATACGTAAATATATTCTCTGCTCTGAAAATAAAAGATAACAGTACGTGGAATTTTTTTCGTCCTTTGAATACGTAACGTGTTGCGTATTTTTTACCAAAGATCATTTTTTTCTTTTCCTTTTACGTTGAGATAAAACTTTTTTCCTTTAAAATCTATTTTTGTAATCTTGGGCCTATGAAAACAACAATAAAAGCATTAGATCTAGAAACTTTTTTTTTAGCCTGAAATATCACACGTTAAGTTGAACAGAAATGCATCGAAATTTTTTTCACCATCCTAATCGCCCCTGTTACCAATTGTCAACAATTGGTGTAGTTTTTTTTCAAAGTCCTTTTTCCTCGGTAGATTCTTCTTTAATTTATTGTGCTTTTGGTTGTGCAAAAGCTTCATCATGTGATGTCTTTAAGATGATGCAATTTTTCTGCATCAGCATTGCCGTTGTTTTTTCCAGTTTTCAAATAGATAACTATCCGATGAACCAACGGAGCATTGTGTCTTGAACGGTAAATGTTAGCTCTGTTTCCTTTTTTTTTTAGCATGTTCTTGTTATTGTCTTTTTTTGTGTATCTTTAAGACAATATTTTTTTTGCTAAAAGGTAGAGCATCATCTTCCAGCTGACGATTGTCCGGCCTTTTTTTTAAATTTCGTACTTTTTCCTGTTCATCGACCATTTTTGGCCATTTTGGTGGGCTATAGCCCTGTCTTTTTTTGTGTATCTTTAAGACAATACGTTATATGCTAAAAGGTAGAGCATCATCTTCCAGCTGACGATTGTCCGGCCTTTGACTAAAATTTCGTACTTTTTCCTGTTCATCCGATTCCCAGTCAGTCTGAGTAGACGTTGAAATCAACACAGCTTCGTTCTTTGCTCTCAAGTACTCCAGAGCTTTTTTTTCCAGTTCTTCGTCAAAATGTTCTTGTTCCTTAACTAGTATACTGATAGGCGCGACTTTGTTTTTCTTTTTTAAAGAAAGACAACCTCCCATTTTCCGCGAATATTTGTTCAACAGTGCTTTGAAACGTCTTTTCGATTTGTCAAAAAGTGTTTTTTTTTGTCTTCAACGTCACAATAAACTAATTTGACGTCTCAAGATTACGTATTTTTTTCGCGCTCAAGATTACGCAGTTGGCGCGCGCTCAAGAAAAAGCACAGTTTTTTTGCGGGAACGCTCATGATGACAGGAAGACCATATGCAGTTTGCTAATTTTTTTTCATATTAAAATGAACATTACTCACCATAAGTAGGTTCCCACAGGTGTTTTTTTATTATATACAACAACACCAGAAGGCTTTAAAGCAACAAAATATTCTTTTTTTTCTTCGCCCTGAAATCAAACAAAAATGTGTCAAAAAATCTCATTATCTTTTTTTATAATTCTAAGATATGAGTTTGAGATGAGTTTATGAAAAAAAAGATTTTTTTTAAAAGATGCCAATACAAATGTTTAACTGGAAAAATATATATGACGTTTTTTTTTGAAAGTCTCATATATGTATATGACGTCATAAAATGAAAGTCTCATTTTTTTTTATGACGTCATATATTGAGCATCTTCATTCAGTTCTTTCATCTCACTTTTTTTGTGATTTTCAAGACGAATCATGTCCTTGRCAAATTTTTTGATTTTTTTTTTTTTCTTTGACCAATATGGTTGTCAAATGTCTACATATTTGAAGTTTGATTTTTTTGGGTTTCTCATCAGTCCAAGTCGCACTAGTCTTTATCGTCGCATTTTTTTTTTCGTTTAATATATTTTACATTGTAGACATCTACGTGAATCGTTATTTTTTTTTTGTATTCTATCCATCTACGATCCTTATTAATTACAATCCGTTACACTATACAATTATTTTTGATGACATGTTCCAGACTTTGTTCTACCTCACCTTGACTAAGTGCAAGTCGACGCCATACATTTCCATCCACTTGACTCTGTCTAGGTACATGTACTCAGCCACAGATGGAACAATGCCACTGGAAATAAGTAATTTAATTAAAACGTACTTTATTGATACACAAAAGATATTGATTCTTTAATAAAAATTCGTGATGTCGAAGGGCGGAATTTATTCGGATATGATGGTGATAAAAGGATGACATTTATCGTTACTTACTTAAGCTTTTTATGTGATTCGCTAATTTTTGCCTCAAGGTCTTCTTTTTTTAATTAGAAACGCATGAAAAAAATTAATAGATAAATAAAAAAGCAATTTTTTTTCTGCCTGTGCAAAACTAACAAAGCTGTTAAAATACAACCAGAAGTATTTTTTTTGAAGAAGTATACAGTCATGTATTTCTGGTATAACTGAATTACCTGTTTTTTTATAAAACGAAACTCGGAAACGTAACCAGGYGTGTGTTGTCTGCTACTTTTTTTACCCAGCTCAGCTRTGAAAYGAAGGAAAATCATTTTATTTTATTRATTTTTTTCGACGAAATCGCCAAAACAAGTGGAAAACGAAAAAATGTCGAAATATTTTTTTATTGTAAAGCGTAGGCGGAAATCTCTGCCAGGATGTTTTGAGAGCATTTTTTTCTTCAGTAAGGAAATAACACAAGTTTAGTAACTGATAACGACATCATTTTTTTGCGTTTTCAAAGAGACAGAACACAGAGAAATTGAGTCCACACCCTTTTTTTTTGTGATGTGGGTAGTGATGTGACAAGAGGTCAATATGGTTCCACACCTTTTTTTATGGTGATGTGGGTAGTGATGTGACAAGAGGTCAATATGGTTTTTCTTTTTTTACTTGATGATTAGATTGAGAATTGAGCTCCATTTTCTGTTCACCGTTTTTTTTCAATAGATTGATCTTTCCTATGCTTACACGTTACTTTCTGCTTTAGTTTTTTTGTTTTAAGCATGGATTTTTATTTAAATTTAGATAATTGGATGTTCATTTTTTTAAATTCTTTCAGGTTCAAAGCGATGGCCTTGATGCGAGCACTTCTTTTTTTTTTCATCTGCGGTTAAATTTATCAGTTAGCGCTACACAGAAACTTCTTTTTTTTTTTACCTTCCTTGAAATATATCCCTCTTCAATTGCTGAAAGAAAAGATTTTTTTAACAAAGGGAAAGAACTTCTGTATTCAAAGATAACAACTTTTTAACTTTTTTTTATGAATTACATCAGTGTGAGAAAATACGGTAAATAATGAGCGGAATTTTTTTTAAGTGCGCGGTAAATGCAAACGTTTTGTTGGTGTTGCGTGATATATTTTTTTTCTTCAAAGATAACACTACATAATCACAGTAATGAAGCGTTGAAATTTTTTTTCCGTACGTGAAGAAAAAAAAGCACACAAGTCGCAGACGAAAAAAAATTTTTTTGAACGTGCGCACAGGAACGATTGCTTTACGCTTTATCTGAAGTTTGAACGTGCGTAAGATTCCTTACCTCGTTATTTCTTCAGAAAGACAACAAGGATCAGACGCGTAAAACTTGACACAGAAGTAAAGAAGATAAGGAGGTCCAGCTGAGTTTTTTTGAGAATACATGAATAATAGAATGGGATAAGATGGTTAAACATGACAGCTTACATTTTAGTTGATTCATGACGAGTTTCATAGGATCCAACCATCGCTGATTTTTTTTAACAACAAATAACTATTAATATTGTGGTTGTACATTATATTTTCATTTTTTTTAAAACTTGCGACTGTATTGGTGAAGAGTATGTAGTTTGTAATACTTTTTTTTAGTTTTGATTTATCGATGTACCGAAGACCAAAGTAGTCCTTCTCTATTTTTTTGATATGTCCAAACACTTTCTCCAAGACTTCCTGTCCTCTTGTTGACTTTTTTTAAAGGATGACTGCATGAACTTAGTCACAGGAAAATACCAATTTAAATTTTTTTAGCGWACTACAAGRGTTTCAAAGTGTAACCTGGACGATTCACAATCTTTTTTTCGATGTTTTCGATGTAAAAACTCGCTTTCTCCATTTCCTTCATCTTTTTTTTTCTTTCAAAAGTTTTTTTCTATAGATAAAGCTCTTAGAAGCAATCCGTTTTTTTTRTGGCGATGTCCACKCTCTTCCATATTACAATTTTTTCACTGCAGTATGTGTAAAATAAAACTGCAGTCTTTTTTAGCACGAAACCTGCTGTTTTCATACAATTGCTTGGTATCAAATCACTCATGTTGAACATTGTTTATGACTGATGCGTTTTTTTAACAAATTCCTCAACACAGTTTGMTTACATGTACTTCTTTAGGTCAAAATCTCGAAAACAGTGTGATCAAGAAACAGTTTTGTAAAAAAAGCAAATTTTTTAAAGTTATTTCCTGCTTATCATAAATTAGCTCACAAAAAGGATAAACAAAGTTTTTTTTTTGACGTTTTAATGGCTATCAAAAATGCAGTGGACGTGACGATGAGTTAACAGGGCTTATAATAAAACACATTGCGTACAGATGGTTACTGGGGGATCTTTTTTTAATAAGCCTTGAGTGAAGGTCTGTGATATTGATTCGATATAACCATTTTTTTTATAAGGGCATACGACTTGGAGTAGTTGTTTGTAACCATATCTATTATTTTTTTTAGTAATCATACTAATCTTTCACCTTACGACAGAACATCGATATTGGTGTAATTCGTACCTCTAGCAACCTTATAAACACTAATAAACGTATATAAACAGACTATAACCTTGGAAAAGCGTTCATTTGGTGTAAACATGATTTAATACTCAATTTTTTTTTACTTGAATTGTGACAGGAAACTCGCTTTCGTCCAAGAGAACAACTTTTTTTAAAAATTCAGTCTCTCTTTTCCCGAAGCACGACATCAGAAAACACCACCAAACAGTCCCACGTTAACTATCTATATAAACCGACTTGACACCGATAGATTTTTTTTAAATTCTTATGTTAGACTCAAGCAGATTTGAATAATTTATATCCGAAGTAATGATCGGATTTACAAACCGGACTAGGCTATGCAAATCACAGTGAATRATTTTTTTCTAAGGTCACAATCCATCACTGAGTATATTGTCTTCTTTCGTCCCCTTTTTTTCATTCAATGGTAAGTTRTGATTGGCTGTCACGTACCAAGTTTGACCTGGGTATGTTTCGGACGAGATTTGATCTTTGAGTACTTTCTATCATGTTTACGTATCTATAAACACAACTCTAAAGTGAACAAAAACAATTTATACAGTCTGTGGCTCTGCGATAGCTTTTTTTAAAGGATCGATGGGTTGCGCGCGGTGCGCACTCTATCAATGCCCGAGGAAAGCTGGTACAGGTCAAGTAATGGCACAGGAAGCCCACATTTTTTTTAAATCCAATATGGCGGACATTTTCGAACAAGAGCGAAATGATATCTTTTTTTTTTGATGCAAAAACTATGCTTGATAGTCATTTCTTCAACACAAGCAAGGGTGAGATGTTTTATTTTGTATTGTAGAGACCTTTTCCGTTCATTGTTGTTTTTTTTTTGCGAGCTTTTATAATTGCCCTTCTTTGTTTGAAGATATGTCGGGATTTTTTTCTCAGCATCCAGAAACAGAATACAGAGTAAAGAAAGGTTTGTTTATTTTTTTTATGGAGAATGAACTTGTTTTAGTAACACCCTAATATTAATATGATATTTTTTTGTGATAATAAGCTTAAAAACAATACTTAAAAGTATTGTTTTCAGTTTTTTTTTAGTTTATCGAGAGCATACATCTTATGGTAAACGAGCCTTCAGTTGGTTTTTTTAGAGTTCATGAACATGTAAAACGATCTGTACCACAGCTTGTTAATAGAAAGGTAAACTATTGTATTTTTGCAAATGTGAATGAAATGGACATGAAAAGGTTTTTTTAGAAAGAAGAATTAAATGGGAGAGAGGGAATAATGTGAAAAAAGGATTTTTTTAGATACTGTAAGAATAAAGGATAGTTAGAAACCACAACCCCTGCACTTTTTTTTTTGTTAAGTTGTTTTCAAAACCTACAGCTTGTCAATTTTTCTAGATTTTTTTTTCAATATTTAGCCATATATCATCAYCACAATTCAGTCAGTCATCTTTTTTTTCCATACAAAAATGAATGTTGCTCRYATTTCCATGATTCAAGTCAATTTTTTTTATCTTGTTTGTGGYWTTATTTGCTCTAGATTGAAATGCAGAGCTTTTTTTTTTAAGTTAATGGAGTTTGCTATGATTTAGATTATTCCATCAGGTTTGGTTTTTTTATGTTTGTGTTGCTCATCAGTAGAAGGGCAATACTTAATGTTATATTTTTTTTTTAAACAGAACTGTCAAAAGCATGAGGTCAATTCAACATTTTACAATTTTTTTGGTATGAACGAATCTTTGTAACATTCCTTTTCTTTTTCTTATTTCTTTTTTTTATAATTTTCTTCTCTTTCTCATTCTTATTGTCAAGTTCTCATTTTGTTTTTTTTACTACCATAATGATTCTTGTTCACATTCCCATTCTTGCTTTCATTTTTTTTTTGTTTCTTATTCCCATAAATGATTCTTATGCCATCCTTTTTTTTCTTATTCAATCTTGCTTCACTAGGAATGCCTTAGGAGTGCCATAGCATCCAAACATTTTTTTGATCAGGCCAAGTCACAAAGGTTAGACTCAGTGTGTGTTTCATTGTTTTTTTTAAGAGAAATACAATGATGGACATTTTAATTGGGATATTGCAACACATAGCTACAAGCCACTTATCATTTTGACAATACAACAAAATTCATGCCCCCCCCTTTTTTTAGC